AGGGCGGGTCCCTCCAGGCAGTCGGCTCCCAGCCCCCCTCCCCGTCTCACCTGGTTTCAGCTGAGCCAGCTCCAGCTGGATCCGCGCTGCAACCTCCGGGAAGGCCACCTGGTAGGGAACTGGGGGCCAGAGGGGGTCAGAACCAAGCCCCCTGCCCTCACCCTCCCCACAGCCTTGGCTCCTCCCCCTGCCTTTCTAGCCCCTCCCCCACATCACCCTAACTCCTTCCCCTTTCCCAGCCACCTCCCGGGCCTCCCTTCCCCCTTCCTCTCCCCTCCCTCCTTCCCCATGGCCCCAACCAGCCCTGACCCACCCTTGGCCACTCCTTTCTCCTCTAGGGAGAAGATGACATTGGAGAAAGTATCCTTCAGCTTCTCCAGCTCCACTGCACCTGGGGAGAGTAGGGTTAGTGGGTAAGGGAACAAGTTCTGCCCTGAAGTCCGGCCCACGGGGGGATCATAGACAGAGGGAAGGATGCAGATGACAGAGCCAGTGATGGATGGAGGGAAAGACAGAGAGATAATGGAGCCAGGGATGAATGGAGAGGAAGACAGAGAGGTGACAGAGACAGGGATGGATGGAAAGTAACATAGAGGGATGATGGAGCCAGAGATGGAGGAAGAGGGAGATGGAGAGATAAGGGAGACAGGGATGGATGGATGGATGGATGGAGGGGAAGATGCAGAGATGACAGAGCTAGGGATGGATGGGAACACGGGGGGACGACAGAGCCAGGGATGGATGGATGGAGGGGAAGATAAGAGGGATGATGGAGCTAGGAATGAAGGGGAAACCAGAGGGATGATGGAGCCAGGAAGGGATGGAGGTGAAGGTGGAGGGATGAGAGAGCCAGGGATGGACGGAGGGGAAGATGGAGGAATGACAGAGCCAGGGATGGGGATGGATGGAGAGGAAGATGGAGAGATGACAGAGCTAGGGATGGATAGGAACACAGAGGAATGACAGAGCCAGGGATGGATGGATGGAGGGGAAGATAGAGGGAGGATGGAGCTAGGGATGAAGGGGACACCAGAGGGATGATAGTGCCAGGAAGGGATGAAGGTGAAGATGGAGGGATGATGGAACCAGGGATGAATGGAGGGGAAGATGGAAGGATGACAGAATCAGGGCTGGCTGGGGGGGGGGGGGGGGGGGGAATGGAAGGATGACAGAGAGCTAGGGAAGGATGACAGAGGGATGAAGGAGCCAGAGATGGAGGAAGAGGGAGAAAGAGGGATAATGGAGACAAGGATGGATGGAGGTGAAGATGCAGATGACAGAGCCAGGGATGGATGGGAACACGGAGGGATGACAGAGCCAAGGATGGACAGAGGGGAGGACAGAGGGATAATGGAGCCAGGGATGGAGATGGATGGAGGGGAAGATGGGGAGATGATGGAGCTAGGGATGGATGGGAGCAAAGAGGGATGACAGAGCCAGGGATGGAAGGCGGGGAAGACAGAGGGATGATGGAGCCAGGGATGAAGGGGAAACCAGAGGGATGACGGAGCCAGGAACATATGGAGGTGAAGACGGAGGGACGACAGAGCCAGGGATGGACGGAGAGGAAGATGGAGGAATGATGGAGCTAGGCATGGAGAGCTAGAGAGTGGCTAAGCTGGAGAAGGGGAAGGGTGGAACTGAGGGATGGCCGGATGGAGCTGGAAGTGGCAGGATGGGTGCGGGAGAGGCTAACTCACAGGCCACAGAGGACACAGCTGGAGCCCGGTGGAGCTGTGGGAGGGCTGGGCAGAGGGACAGGAGCGAGGGAGGGAACAGAAGGCAGAAGGGATGGGCAGACAGACAGGAGGAAGGGAGGGAACAGAGGATGGACGGAGCTGCAGGGGGTGGGTTTTGGGGGGCGGATCTGGGGCTGGCTGTCCAGCTCCCGGTCCCCACTCACCCACCCCCAGCTGGGTGTGGGGCTGGAAGGCAGCCTGCAGGGTGCCCAGGCAGGCGGTGTGCCGGGAACTGGCATGGCCCAGGAAGACTTGGCAGACGCGCAGGCGCTGCTGGGGGGTGGAGAAGCAGAAGAGGCAGCCGGGCGCCCAGGGGACCAGGAGGAGGCTGAGGCAAAGGGGCAGCAACAGCCGGGAGGTGACGGGCATCGCCCAGCGCAGGGGGCATGGAACCCGCAGGGACATCACAATGGAGAGGGCGGGCCCACATTCTGGCCACACCCACCCCAGAGGCAGCTGGATTTCTGTATGGGGTGAGGGGTCCCTTTATAACCAGGCACCACCCCACCCCAGAGGTGGCTGCATCCCATGCCAGGCAAGGGGTCCCCGCACACCCAGCGCTGGAGGGAGGCAGGGCGCAGGGGGCATGGAACCCGCAGGGACATCACAATGGAGAGGGCGGGCCCACATTCTGGCCACACCCACCCCAGAGGCAGCTGGATTTCTGTATGGGGTGAGGGGTCCCTTTATAACCAGGCACCACCCCACCCCAGAGGTGGCTGCATCCCATGCCAGGCAAGGGGTCCCCGCACACCCAGCGCTGGAGGGAGGCAGGTCGGGGC